AGTCGCTAGGTGGCGCCAGAGATCTCTCCTAGAGCCCTTGGGGATCTGATTTTCCACCCCGTGGGACAGGGAACAGAGCGGCAATGGTAGGGTAAACCTCAACGGCTTTGGGGTGCTGTGTCTGCCTTGTGCCCCACCGTCGTGGGGAACCCTCGCCCCTAATTTCATGCCCCGGGTCTCAGTTCCAAAGCCCTCAGTTCCAGGACGCGGGCTGTAGCCCAGTTCAGTGGCGCGGGAATGGCGCCTTTTGAATCCCGCTCCCGTGCCTGGGCGCCTGGTTCCTGCTCACTCAGTGAGGGCCTCCGTGCGTCTCCCCACAAGCCTAGGTCGCAGGCGCGGGGACCTGGGCAGCTGCGATCCGGATCCGCGTTTGCTTTTCAACCGCACTGCTTTTCCGTGCGATCCCGATTCCGATCCGTCTTTGCTTTTCCAGCGTGCGCCGCTTTTCCGCGCAAGCTTACCAGGCGGCCCAGGGCTGTGTGCTGGTGCTGGTCTCCTCCTGGGGGGGGGCTCTCTTTAATGGCGCCTAGAGCTCACCTCCCCGGCGAATCCTGCAGGATTCTCCACAGCTCCCGTTCACGGGGTGTGGTGGCTGAAATAGTTCCTTTCCACTCACAGTCCCGCTTGCTGCGTAGTTTGTTCTTGTTGGTCGTTTTAGTTTGTTGTTTTCCTCCTCTCTGCTGGTCGGAGAGTGCCGCCTCTGTGGGCGGGGGAGGGGAGCAGGGTTCTGCGCTTTCCTCCCTTCTGGTCCTCTTTTATGGCAACTTTCTTCTTCGGGCAGTTTGCTGGAGTCACCCGTTTATCTTCCGTGTCCCAGTTCTCACTGGGACCTGCCGCTTTTCCTCCCTATTAACTTTTTTTAATGGGAGATCTTACTCGCAGCGTCTCCTCGCAGCCATGTTGCTCCGCCCCTACTCGGCAGGATATCTTTTTAATGGATGAATAATGGTTCATTGTGCATATATACCTCAATTTCTCTATCAGAGCGTTCATTGAAAGACATTAACATTGGTTTCATATCTTGGCTATTATAAATGATTCTACCTAATGGGGTGCAATAAAAATGGATATATAGATATCTCCTCAAGATACTGATTTAATTTCCTTTGGTTATATACTGAGAAGTGGAAATGCTAAATCACACGGTAGTTCAATTTTTAATTTTGTTTGTTTTGTTTTTATTTTTTATATCATTTTTGCACAATATATGCATTTTTGTCATGGTTATAGTCCCCATACAATTCCCACCCTCCTTGTTTTCATCCTACTCCCTCCTCCCCCACCTGTATTGTGTCTCTGGTTTATAGTTGCTTGTTGATTTTGATTTTTACCTTATTATAATTAGTCTTTTTCCTGGTCCCTTATATAGGTTTTCCAAATTCCTGCTATGAGTGAGACCATCCAGTATATTTCTTTTTCTATGGTGGGACTGCAAACTGGTCCAACCACTATGGAAAGCTGTGTGGCGATTCCTCAACCTGCTAAAGATGGAGCTGCCATATGATCCAATTTGTAACTTTTTGAGGAATCTCAGTACTGCTTCCCATAATGGCTCTGCCAATTGGCCTTCTCACCATCAGTGCACAAGAGTTCCCTTTTCTTCACATTCTAAGCAGCATTTGTTAGGTCATCTTTTTGGTAATAACCATCCTAACAGTTATTTGGTAATAGTTCATTATAGTTTTATTTACGTTTCTCCAGTTATTAGAGATATGTTTTACCTTTTTGTATACCTGTTGATCATTTATAGGTCTTTGAAAAAATGTTAAGACAAAGCACATTTTAAAAATTGGCTTAAGTGCCATTTTGCTATCAAGTTGTTTGATTTCCTTATACATTTTGACTATTAAACCTTATGATAGAGTGTGCAAATATTTTCCCCCATTGTATAGGGAGCCCTTTGTTTTATTGATTGCTTCCTTTGCAATGTGAAAGCACTTTAGTTTGTTGTAGTCCCATTTATCTTTTATTGTCTGCGATTTTAGTATCTTACCCAAGAAATAATTGTCAACATCAAAGTCAAGGAACTTTTCCCTTATATTTTCTTCTAGGAGTTTTATAGTTTATATGTCTTACATTTAAGAATTTGATCCATTTTGAAGTCCAAAAGTTTTAATGATGTAGAAATTTTCTCATCCTTCATAAAAATTATTCCCTCCCTTGTGAACACGTGTATTATCAAAGCATCCACTGTTCTTGCAATTTCTGGATCATCTGGTTGGATAGTTTTAATGTCACTAATATATTGCATAATTATGATGATATATCCAGGTGGTCTAGATCTCTTCAGTCTATATTATAGCAAAGGTTAAAACTATAAATGTATACTTTTGTCCATTTCATATGAATATTTCTAATATTTCTTTCTGAAAGATATGGAAAACTCAATAAGTCAATAATCACATGTCATATACCAAAACAGTGATACTCTGTTTTATCAAAGTTACCACTTTTGTTATAGCATTTACAATTAACAGTGCTAGTGGGTTGGTTTACAATAGTACATTATAATTCTTCATGATGGGTCCTGTTTTTTAGGGCCCACAGTGGTTAATTGAATGCAAATAGAATGGGGATCATCATTTCTGTGTCTTTTGAGTATCTTCTTGCCACAAATATCCCTACAGAATATAATATATTTTTTGAAATATTATCTTAGTTTATGAATGGGATAGCGTCTGTCCCTTCCCTCTACAATAGCTATAAGGAATGAGTGTGGGTGTTAAGCCACCTACCAAGTATATCAACTAAAATTATGCATACAGAAAATGTAATGAGGACTGGAGAATTATCATTTTGTGGACCCAATATATGACTGATCTATACTAGAACTGAACTAATACCTTAGTTCCATGTGCCTCCATTCAAACAAAAGGGCCATTGACCCTTCAGGTATCTAAAGGGTCAGACAGTGTCTTACTCATGGTATTTGTAATCATCGAGTTCTTAAGAAATCTATGAGCATACAATAGATCTCAATAAAAGTACCTTCAAAAATTGTTATAAAAAATAAATAAATAAATAAAAAGGGTCAGACTGTATCCAATAGTCCTCAAAATGTTATAGTATTCCTTTTTTCTGGTTTATGATGATGCAGATAAATGGTCACCAGTAATTTTGGGGAAATACTGGGAGCAGCATTACCATAAATACTTCCTGAGTAGTACCCAGTCATTCTTCATGACATTTTTATTAAGACTGGTTAGTTGATGCCATGTCCTGCCTCCCCTTCAGAAGGACAGAGTTACTTGTTATCTAAGTCAGTTATACATAGTAGATCCATTCAAATATATACTTGAACATTAAGATTCCTCCTTATGCACTGTGTCAGGGATTTCAAATTCCTTCATACTAGTGAGTGTCTAGAATAAAATACCTGGTTGATTCTGTACACACAATAAATTTTTTTAATTCATTTGATCCCAAAAAACTAGGTTTGGGATGGTGGGACCACCCAGAGGATGGATCACAGAGATAATTTTAAAATAAAGGATTTATTCTGATAGCTCATGTTATAGGTGACACATTACAGGGAAGGAGATCCTAGACAAGGGATCCTAGATTCACTATGCAAGTTTAAGAGTCCATATTATTACCTAATGGACCGTGAGAATATTTAACATCTTTGTACCTCAGATTTCTCTGTAAAATGGGACTAATGAGAGTGCCTCCTAAAAAGGTTAAGGCAAAGCACTTAGAAAAATACCTAAACTGTCAAAAGCACTGTGTGAGTCAAGTCAATAATTACCTATACTAGTACAGATGAAAGCCAATCATAATTCCATAACCCAAGAAGGAAACTCCAAGTAATAGGATGTTTTCTGTTTCTGTTTCAGTAACCATGCCAAATAACAACCTGCACAATTTATAAAAAAGAAAACCTACACATATTTTAGAATAGTTCATTTTCTTTTTACTGCTATTTAAAATTTCTCTTTCTGGGAAAGACACAATGATTTTAGTGTGACTTACTTAATCATACTATATAATTCACCAAGCACATTTGTTTCCCACAGAAAAGAGAACATCATCAATTATAAGTATTTAGGGAAACTTCATCCTAAAATATAATTTAATTAGAGATCTTCCTGAATATAGCTGTAGTCAAAGAATACTGTTTAATACTGAATATTTATCATTCTTTTAAATAATTAAAGCAATAGTTTAAAATTCAGCATTGGTAGGACCTGAACAAGGAAATGTATAGTAATGATAGAAATTAGGAAGAATTAGGAAAAGATTTTTAAAAAGTGCAAAATGTCAGTGATAATTTACTCTGTAGAAAGAATACTAAGGAGAGTTTTAAAAATCTGTCCTCAAATAGACCTACAGAAAAAAAAACTAAAAAAGTATAAGATAAGCAGCAATTAAATAGACAATTAATTTTAAATATAAGGACACTAAACTGAGAACCAGAGATGTGGTTTCTAGTCCCTCGCTCTCTATGGTAACTTTTAGCTGTGTGCCCTTGTGCAAATGGTAGTCATCCTTTAATTCCTGGCCATTGTGGGGATTAGAACAAATGGAGTTAAAAGTCCATTCTAAAATACTGAAATATGATTAGCAATTTCCTGACTTCCTGATAGGGAAGCATGGTGGGGATCAAAATATGTAGAAACTGGAAAAATAAGAAGCAAACGGAATAGGAACAAAGACTTAAAATCAAAATAGGCAGTCATTAGATGAAAGATAGTACAGATGCATAGCTTGTCTACCAGAAACATTGTTCCAGTACAGAAAAAGTATAAAACGTTCTAATTTGCTCAATTACATGACACTTTCTCAGCTTCATAAGTTGCAAGGTACACATGATTTGGTTTTTAACATTTGACGGATAGACTGCTTTGCTTCTAATATAATAGTCATACACATAACACATTAATGAGTTTCTAGGCCTATAACAAGGCCTAAGTTTTGATTATTCCTCTAAAATTGAGAAATATCTTCTGCAACCAGCATGAAGGAGAATCTGTAGTTCCATTTCTTCACAGCCAATTCATTTAGGAAATCTTCCTATAATGCATAAGACGACTGTACAGTCTCCTCATTGCCACTTTCATCTCTTTGTTCCTGAATGTATAGATGACTGGATTCAGAAAAGGAGTGATGGATGCATCAAAAATAGCAAGATATTTATCCAGGTGTGATGTAGGATAAGGCCATGTATAGAAAAACATCAGTGGTCCAAAGAACAAAATTACCACAGTAATATGAGCTGACAAAGTGGAAAAGGCCTTGGATAACCCACCCGAGGAATGTTTCCTAACTGTGAACAGAATGAAAATGTAGGAGATCACCAGAAAGACAAAGGAACCCACAGTAATGAACCCACTATTAACAGTGACCATGGATTGCAGTTCTTCAGTGTTTGTGCAGGCCAGTCTGAGGAACCGGGGAAGGTCACAATAAAAAGTGTCCAATACATTAGGGCCACAAAAAGGCAAATCTGCTACAAAAACTATTTGAATCAATGAGTGGCTAAAACCAATGAGCCAAGAAGTGACTGAAAAAGATACACACATTTTTGGACTCATGATGGTCAGGTAGTGAAGGGGCTTACAAATGGCCACATATCTGTCAAAGGCCATGGTGATGAGGAGCACCATCTCAGTGCCCCCAACAGCATGAATAATGAAGATCTGAATAATACACCCCCAAAAGGGGATGGCTTTGTGCCTCTTGAAAATATCACAAATCATTTTAGGAGCTACAGTGGAACAAAATAACATATCAATGATTGAGAGGTTAGCAAGGAGGAAATACATAGGGGAGTGCAGATGAGCATCCAAGATTACAGTGACCACAATGACAAGGTTTCCCATCATACTTGCTAAGTAGCTCAAAATGGTGAAGAAAAAAAGGGGAAATTGGAGTTCCCAAGTATTGGTGAGTCCCAGAAACACAAACTCTGATACTGTGGAGTGATTCATTCCACCCATTGCCTCAGACACCAGTTTGAGTTTTCATGTTACCTACAGGAAGAGAGAAAATAAAAAAGAATTGCCTAAAATAGTATTAGTGCACAAGAGAGAAAGTCTCCCATCCATGAAAACAAGTATTATATTAGTATCTCCCATAGACAGATACTCTTCATCACGTGCACATTGGACTTCTACTTAAAGGAGTCAGCTGATTCCCAGATGACACTATGATTTTCAAAACTACTACTAAAGCATCTCCACAGTGAAAGACACTATCAGTAAAGAATGGTACTCTACTGAATGAGAAAAAATATTTGTACACCATAATTCTGGCAAGGTACTGATATCCAGAGTTTGTTTAAAAAAAAATTTAAAAAAAAACACCTCAACAAAAAGAAAATGGATAAATGGAACATGGGCAGAAGAGCTACATGACCACTTTTCCAAAGAAGACACAAAGATGGCCAACACGTATATGAAAAAAATGTTCATCATCAGTTATCAGGGAAATGCTAATCAAAACTACAATGAGATACCATCTCATACATGTGAGAGTGGCCAATAACAAGTGTTACCTAGAATGTGGAGGAAAAGAAACCCTTGTGCATTGAAGGTGGGTTTGTTGACTGGTCAAGCCCCTATGGAACACAGTATGGAGTTTTCTCAGAATATTAAAAATGAATCTACCATATTATCCAGCAATTCCACTCCTAGGTGTGTATCTAAAGACTACAGAAACAATAATTAAAGGGCTATGTGTACTCCTGTATTCACAGAAGCACTTTTTACAAGCCAAGCTTGAACACAACCCAAGTGTCAAAGGGAAGATGAATAGATTAGGAAGTTATGATAAATGTATTCAATGGAATATTTACTCAGCTATAAAAAAACATGAAATCCTATCACTTGCAATAATATGGATAAAACTGAAGGGTATCATGCTAAGCAAAGTAAGTCAAAAGGAGAAAGAAAAATACTGAATCGTTTTCACTCACAGATGGAAATGGGGGTGGGTGGGAAGGAACTCACAAAACTAAACCAAAACAAACCCTAGATTACATGACTGCAAAATTAAGCCTACTACAGGGGGAGGAAGGTTGATTTGAAACTAAGGATGCAGGAGTCCCAATGCTCTAGGGCAAAGGACTATGTCTCTCCAACTACTGCCTCTGTCATCACAAGGCCTCTCTGACCATCCTGACTTTTTCTCATAAAACCCTCATTATTACATTGGACTGGCCCCGGTAATCCAGGATAATTTTCCCATCTCAAGATTCTTAATTTCATCTGCAAATCACATCACATCCTTTCCCATATACTATAAGATAGTCACAGGTCCAGGGATTTACATATGGACGTCTTTGGAAACCATTGTTCCATATATACAAGCCTATGATATAGGAACAAGTAGGAGAAACAGATAATGTCTTACAACTAGGCAATAAGTCTGACAGAGGTAATGTCAGACAACTTATCTAGAAGGTGAAATAATGAAGAAAATACAGAAAGTTCATTTGAATTTTTCTGTGAAACTAAAAACTGCGAAATCTATCTCCAACTGCCTTTAAACCAAGTCTAAGCACCTAATGTCCACTAATGATAAGAAATCCAAGATAATGTTCTTGAACAAGTAACTGTATAATTGACTCCTGAGTCATTCTCTGAATTATTTTTGTTCATTAGTTCAATAAATATTTTTAACTACACAGAAAGCAATCACTATTGCAGGCATTGAGAGTATAGCATTGACAAGGATTCCTGCCTGTGGTGAGTCCATCTTCATGGCTGAAAATGCAATTGCATCTTATATTCATATATTCTTCTATGAGAAAACATAAAAGCACTTGAACAAATGCTTTAAATCATCAAATATGTGGGGAGTCTCAATTTCCACCTTTAGGAATTTCTTTTCAGTAGTATTAACGCCTTCCCTTATCTGAACTTTATAAACCTATCATGTTGATCAAACCATTTAATTTTTCAGTGGCTATTTTACATGGGTTCTGTATCTCCCTATATATTATAGGACACAATTGGCATAATTCTTAATTCTTTATACAGCCTGAAAAACCTCAAAAATGATGGTGGGAGGAAGATTTCTTAACCTTTTCACTGAATCATCTAATATTTATATAGCTTCCCATAGAGTGCCTAGTTCTCTGGTAAGTCTTAGAATATAAAGAAGAAAAAGGTGAAAAATCAATAGTGGAATAAAGTAATGAAAAAGCAAATTGAACATGTATGAGAACACTCCAAAATTTGTAGAACAATTCCAAGTAAAAATTGTATAATACCATGTTAGGATTTATCGCCAATCCTCCATTGTCATAAACTCTTACCAAACAAATCAAGATTTCTCTAAGTATAGAAGAACAAAAAAGGCAAAAATAATTCATTTTGATCACTAAGCAGAAAATGCTCCTAACCAAAGTTTTTTGAGGCTTCCAGGAAATAAAATTAAAATAGGAATATATCATAAGTAGAGCTTCTCCAAATTGAAATTTAAATAGCAAAATATAACAGATGAGAAGAGCAAAAATACGTTGGTAAACTTGACTGTTTAAAAATACATGAAGAAAGAAGTCAGAAAAATAAGCAGATTTATTAATAAAAAGGTGCATTAGAGCTTCCCTGGTAGCACAAGGGTTAAAGTCTCAGCGCTATCAAGCTAAGGCCAGCCTCAGCTGCAGGAGTTGATCTGCAGCCAGGGAGCTAACCCACATGTTGCAGCAGACCTCTCCTGCCTTGCCCACTGCTCCCCTCAGCAGTGTATTTCAGCAGAACTGCCTGCTCTGTTCCCCACTCTGTCCCTTGTGAATCCTGTCACCCCCTGCACCTTGGCCTAAACCACAGTTCTATACATAAATAAATAAAAGTAAAACTTTTTTAAGAAAAGAAGATGCATTGGGTCATTCAGGGGGAAAAAAATGAGAAGGTGTATAAACCTTACATAAAGTCTAGCCAGAGAGAGAGATTTTTCCAGTTAAGTGTGTGTTTTTAAATCAGAAAGAAAATTTGTAGGTGAAAAAGGAAGGCAATACAAATTGGATTAGGGAATGCAGCAGCAGACTAACATGATAAAGGGGAAATAATGGAGAGTGGGAGCTTCTCAGATTTGCAAGATTAAAGTGCCCATAATTATTTCCTACTTCCAACTCGCACAAGAGTTGCTACCTTTTAGGGTCACATAGGTTAGTTTTCCTTACATTGTTAGGGGAAGTGTGTTCCATTAAGTTGTTACAGACAAACAAATAAGTTACTAGAGACTTTCTGTAGCCGAGATCTTACACATGCAAAAAATGAGAGGTTTGATGATGAAGAAATAAGTGACCCATTTAAACTTGATTCATTACCCAAGAAGGCAGGGCTTGCATAGGTTGCTGCAGAAGACAAGCAAAGAACAGGTGAGCTCAACAGGAGAGGGGACCTCAAGAATGAGAACTAAAGTTGAGAAAAGAGGGAGAAGTAGAGTCAAAGAAAAAAATGTAAGGATTAGTAATACGAATACCAAATAGCAGACCTAGAAACTTACCCAGATCCTGTTGTCAAGGCCTCAGATTGCTTGAGTATCCATCTAATTAACCCTGAGTGCTGGTCTCTGAATCACTTTTAGGGGAGACTTCTAGGTTCTGGGTAATTGATCACAAGGCATACCAGACTTCCCATGCAAAGAGTGCATGCACTCCCACACCATTGCTATTAGAAGATACTCCCTTTGAATTCTCTAGCTCTGGTCTAGCTATTAGTCTATTATAATGACATGAATTATACCCCAAATTATTTAGACATAATTTATGATATGTGACTGATTCAGATTTTGCAGCATTAGCTAGTAGCATCTTTCAAATTGCTTGATTTACATAATTGACTCCTGGTAATTTTACAGCTTAACTTTTTGGGGAAAAAATAAAAGAGATGCTTATTATCCCCTATTAATAAAATCATTTAGCTGTAAGAAATGTGAAACTACACTCTAGCCAAGCACCTTTCTTTTGGTTCTCTATCCAAGACTCTTCTGTTTTTTCTCAGTTTAAGAGGTTTGAAAATTCATCCGCTTCCTTGCTTTCCTGATCTTTATTAACATCATAGTCTGAGTATTCTTCCCTATAGTAAAGTCTCTCTCTCCTCCTTTCAATTATGCCATGTCTTTTAACTGTTTCTCTTCCAATTTAAGGAAGTTGTCAGCAACTCTTTGAGATAAGTGTTCAGTAGCCTTCATCATGGTAAAAGCAAATAAAGGAAAATTGTATGTACCCTCTAGTTTTGTTCATCTCCATTCCTTTAGCCTCTTCTTAGAGGTTCCGTCTTCTATCAGTTTAATCTTTGTCACTCTGTCTGACCACGCCCATTTGACCACCAAACATCTCATTGTAGCGACCTCGAAAAAAATCTAGTAAGTTATTTAAAACAGGAATATTGACTGCTAACTACTATTAAACATTATATTACATATAGTTTCCTACTTTTTCTCCATTCTTCCATCATAATTTTAACTGACTCCAGAATATTTAAATTTAGAGTGAGTTAGATCACTCGATATTTTTGTACTAAGTAATTTTTCATTCATTCTTGCTCCACCTTGATTCTGTGAAATTCGAGTTCTATTTTTTCAAAAACATCACCTCCCAGCAGTGCCTGATGAACTTTTTTCTCTGTATGTCTTAGCTCTCTAAATCAGATGACAAGCTTGTTTTGAAGACCACAAGCATATCTGTCTTTACTTTCAGTGCTCAAAAAGATCTTTGGGCGCAGTTAACAATTCATCCTGCTTCCTAGTCCTGACCTCATGTGGACCCTGACACTGCAGTATATTTACAGTTGCACTTTTGGAATTCCAAATCATTTCCAAGTCCATCTTAAAAATTAAGGTTTTAATTCTTGCTCAGTTCTACAGGCTTCCTTGTTTATTCCCTCCTCTGCTCAGCAGCAACAGCCTCTCTCCACCACCACTGCTTCTTCCTGCCTCCAGGCTACAGTTTAGTTGATCAAACAAAATTACCTGACTTTTCCCTGTTGCT